GGCTCCTGCTGGTGATGAGGCCACTCCCAACTCAGTTCTACATATCAGGTTTAGAGCTTCACTCTACAATCAGTCTGCACCTCCTTGTTCATGTATTATTGCCTTTGACCACTGTCCTTGAGTCCATTACAATCTTGTGAAGGAGAATGACACATCAATAAATAACTACCAAGCAGTGTTGCAAGGGTAACATAGAAGCTAGGCAAGGTGCCATGGAGCAAGTCACTGCCTGGAAAAATTTTCACAGAAAAAGTTGCAACTGAGCTGAGTCTTAGAGAATGCAAAAGGTTTCACTCGAGTCATCCCAGGCACAATGAACCAACCATATATAGTGATGGAGACAGGAAGCTCAGAGGGATGGTAGGAAGTTCAGCATGACTGGAGCAGAGAGTTTCAAAGGTGCCAGGAGAAAGGCAGTATGGTTGGATTGATAAAATCATGAGATTTTGTTTCCCTAATAGAAAGGAAACAAAGGAATCTTATATTCAAGTTTGTGTTTTAGAAAGGAAAGCCTACAAATAGTTCTAGGAGGAAAGATAGATAGTTATTACAACTGCAAGTGGCAGGGAGCGTGTACTAGGGTACTCTAGACATTGACGGGTAGAAACCAAGAGTGCTGCTAACTGTCCCACGGTACTTGGGGCAGCCAGGACAGTCCTATATAGCAAAGAATTGTCTCGTCCAAGATAGCAATGGTGCCACGGTTAAGAAACTGTCCTAAAAGGATGAGGTGGCCAGAGAGCACATCATGCCACAGCCCAGAGAAATCTTTACCCAAAGAAGCAAAGAGCAGAACTTCTCAGTTACAAATGTTGGGTAACAACCACATGCCCATGAAACTTGATACTATGGATCCTTTCCTCCTTCCAATGGAGTGAAAAGAATGATTTTATTGCAGTGACCTTGTATTTGACACAGTTAATATTTTGTAAAGGAAATCATTTGTAAACATGGATACTTGGTTATCACAATTTTGCTTGAGATTATAGCTGATCAAAGAAGAAAGGTAGGTGACACTGAAGTGCAGGATCACTGCCTTCGGCACTGCCCTAGGGAAGCACAACAGCACCGCTCCACTAGCAGACCAAAGATCTTTAACCTGGGCGTAAACATAGGAAACTCCTTCCACCAGGAAAAAAACCAGGAGTCACAATTTTCCAGGACACTGATTTGCTAGGTCTTTCTCTACTGTCCTCCAGGCTAGAAAACTTTCCCCCAGGGTACCAACCCAATCTGCCATCACTTTTTAAGTTCAAGTCCCACTATTTGCCCATGTTCAGGGAACCTGGAGTCTTTAACACGTAAAATATAAAATCAAGCCAAAGTCATGCTTAAAACCCAAAGCATGTTGAAAACTGTGACAACAAACTACATTCTGTTCAGATCAAAACTGGAAATAAAATCCTTGTGTTGTTGTTGCTGTTGCTGTTGTTGTTTTTAGATAATGTAATTTTGCTGTTTTCATTTCTGTTTCTATCTGGGTCTTCAAAGCTTACCTTTGTCTCTTTAGTGCTGCCTCTAACATCACAGTTCAGCAATTGAGGGCAGTTAGTTGAAAGCACAGGCTCAGAACCAAACCCAGTAGCCAAGTTGAACTGCACAAATTGGGGAATCTGCCCTCTTGTTGGTTTTCAATTGAGAGAATGAATTTCATCACAAACACAGTTCCAATATTGTGCCCATAGATTCAAACTATGTGGTCAAGAATGAACATAGGACTTTGTAATAGACAACTATTAAAGGGATATCTACAAAGAATTTAGTATACATAGCACATTCCTGAAAGGATGTAATAAAAACTAGTAGCAGTAGTGACCTCTGGAGAGGATGAACCAAGTGTCAAGAGAACAAAGGAAGAAAAAGAACCCACTGTTCACAGTATATCCTGTAGTGCCCTTTCAATTCTGAATCATATGCATGTATTACTTGTTAATAAAATAATTTGTAAGAGATGAATGTTCTAAAACTCACAAAAAAATAACAACCTTATAGAACTCACAAAAAATAATGTTTCTCTCCTCTGACTTAGTTCACTCTTGTCTTGAATGGTCATAGACTCCTGGAATTTAAAAACAAAAAAACTCAAGTCTATTGCTGGAGCTTTGAATCCACTTCTGAACTACCACCCTGTGTTACCAACTACCAAGTGCTTCCTCGTCTACAGGTCCTATCCAGGGATACCTCCAAGGCAACATGCTCCAAACCCAAATTGTCCTTTCCCTCCTTTCCTCCCTACCCTCTTCCTTCTAAGCCTGACTCTTTTCCAAAGTTCTCAAACATTTTCAGAAATAACTATCCATTCATCTTTCCAATAAGGACCTTAGTGTTACCTTAGGAATCTTCCCTCTCTTGTTATAGTCCTGCTTATTCATCTCTTTTGGGATGAGACTGCTAACATTGCACATAAATATTGCTGAAGAGATCATCAAATAGAAGCTCTCATGTATTATCCCAGTGACCTTTCCTAGCATGATGCCTTATAAACTATAATCCTTTGCTGGAATGTGAGCTCCCTGGCTGAATTTTCATCTCAATCATTCACCCTTCTGCAGCCCTGACTCCAAGTCATCTTCCTGAAATACAGAGCCAAGCATGCTTAGGACCTTGGACAGCTCTCAGTGGCCCACAAAATGGTGTCTCCACACTCTAGTATCATAAATGAATGTTTAGAATGAACACTGAAGATACTTTTCATCCTTATCACATAAACTGTACCCTAGCTACTGTGGTCTATCAAGCCTTGCCATCTGATGCCTTCTTCAGGCCTCCACAACTTTTCACTTCCAGTCTGCTTAACTGGGAAAGCCTTCCCATTCTCTCCCACCAGATCTGTCCATAAATGAAATTGTTGCTCATCCTTCCAGACCTCTATTCAGATTATGCCCCACTGAAAAGCTTTTCAGGCCTGTTCTCTCCTCTGCTCCTTAACACTTTGTACACATCTGATGATAGCCCTCACCACACTCTTTCCCTCATTCCTCATTATGTTTCCATCTCCCCTGCCAGAATGTGAATTGATTTTTTTTAAAAAGCTACTATATTTTATTCATCTTTAAACACACTGCACCTCCTTGCTAACACTGCACATAAATATTCCTGAATGAATTGGCTGAAAGCACTTTGGTAAAATATAACACATTATCCCAAAATTTTATAGACCTACATGGCTAAAATCTCATTTCTTTGTGCTCTCTCTCTCTCTCTCTCTCTCTCTCTCTCTTTCAGTACCTATTGGCATGCTATCACAGGTCTCAGGAGGGCCAGTTATTCAAAGAGAACTAACTAAGTGCCTGCTATTTGTAAACAAGGCCATTTGTAAAGCTTCTGGGCTGGACTTAGAGATTGCCTTCTAACTCTGAGGACATTCCTTTGAGCATTCAGTCCACTTTAGCTTTCTTTCCCAAATGTCTTGAATTCTATAAGTAACCTTTGTTTCCCCTGCAAACATTTTCAGGGAAGCTGAACAGAACTGAAAAACAAAGTAGTGACCCAGCAGGGACCACCTGGCCAGTGACTCATGCCAGCCTAGCGGTAGAGAGGGGCTTCTGAGACTCGGTTCTAATTCCTGCCTCCTTCCGCTGCCATCAGCTACTTAACCACTTGAATCTCAAAGGGCTCTCTGCTCCCAGTGAAGACCCTGGCAGCCCATTAATCACAAGCTTATTCAAGTAAAACAGCACCATAAGCAAAGTGATAACCTGAGTGGTTTGAAGAACAGTGGACAACAAATCAGAGGGAGGTGAAGAGGGCAGAAAACCCATGACAGCTCCTAGCCTTAGGGTCTTTGCTTTCACTGTTCTCTTAGCTTAGCATCCTCCACCCTGATATATTCACGTTAAAGTCTCTAATCAAATGTCTCTTCCCAAGAGGCTATCCTGACACCCAAACTAAAATGGCAGTGTGTGAGTCTCTCCATCTCCTCCCCTTGCTCTATGTGTCTTCCAGGCCATACTGGCATTTCATATAGCACTTACACTTGAGCATTTGTCTGTGTGTAAACTGATCATACTCTGCCCCATTCATCCAGGAGGGCAGGGATATTTTCTGCTGTCTCATTACCAAACAATCTAATCACATAAATACTTGTTATGTTTTTTCTTTAAAGTATACAAAAAAGTATACAAATGCAAGTTATTTGAACGTTGGAAACTGTACAATCCCATGTATGAAGAGGCCAAGTGATTAACACACAGGAGTTCACAGTTTACCCCCTGCCGCCCACCCACAACACATCAGTATAGCATGCCTTCTAGTTCTTCTGCCCATTCTTTGCTCCTTTGTCCAGGAGAGAATGGATAAAAGCCACAAATGAGGATTCTCTCAAGAAAAGCTGACAAAGTCAAAGAAAAATCACAAACTTCATAGATATCTGGAAGTGATGGGGAGGATTAGAGGAGTGTTCAAGAAACTAAAATGGCAAAAGCCAAGTGTAATGACACACACCTGTATTCTCAGCACTCAGGAGGCTGAGACCATAAGTTCAAAACCAACCTGAGCTACATAATGAGTTCAAGGTTCAGAAAAACTTTATAGTGAGACCCTATCTCAAAAACAAACAAAAAGAGAAACTAAAATAACAGACAGGCCATAGAACAGAGTTCTGTCTTTGTGATAATAAACAGAAAAAATTAGAGAAAGAGTTTAGTAACAATTTGCCATGGTGTGTACATGAACATGGGGGCCACGTTATAAGAGACCTAAGGACTTAGCTGTGTGTTAATCTCTACTTCACACTTCTGATCTTCTCTTCCACTGGAATGGAAATCTGATGAAGCAGAAGGCTCAGTATCGGGATAAGTTTAAAGCAAACAGCCAGAGAGAAAATATCGGAGGCCCCACGTGTCCCACCAAGTTTGAGCCTTTGAGAATGGTGAGTCTCCCTGGCTATGTAGATAAAATCACCCTGCAGGCACAAGAGGATCTGAGTCACTTTCAAGTCAAGGGAACTCTACCCAGTTTGGTGGTCTCCACCCAGCATGAATTTGAATGTGGATACTCACGGTTCAGGGGTGTAGAGGGGGTCCGAGCCATGGCGGACGTACTGAGTGCAGTGGAACACTCTGTAGGCCAGTCCTGCCAGAAAGTCCCTGGGGCTCAGGTAGCCAGCCACCGGCCTCACGGTGAAGCCAGAGCGCTCTAAAGAGACAGCAGAAAGAGCCAAGTGAGTATTAAGCTGACAAGAACCGAGGGCCCACACAGGGGGCCCTACTATTTATAAGAATGTTCCACAAACAAAGTAATTAAGATTTTAAGACTTGTGACCACGGGGTGACATCACCTGTTAACAGCTATCATGTTTCAGGCTTCTGATGCCTAAGATATGCTCATAAATGATGGCTTCTAGAGTAACAAGACATTCATTAAAAGGGAAAGAAAGACCCAAAAATCCCTAAGAATTTAACTTCAGTAGAAAAATTGGGATAGGAAATCCCAAAGACAAAAGAGAAGCCTGAAACAGAAAATGATGTTTACCATTAAAGAGACACATTACCCAGCCTCCTTCTAAGAGTCATTCAAGCAACCACCATGTGTATGGCCAGCAACACACGCTGATGCACTCCTTCACTCAGACATTGGGCTGTGTTCACACTACAGCTAGGATGAAATCTCCTGACTCCTTCCTCTTTTTGGTCATACTGTATTAGTTGCTGTGATTTGAAGAAGTACACTGAAGCATTACATGCTTTATTGACTTTCGGTAAGAAAAAAAACAAACTACAAATCTAAGAAAACCTGTACAACTGCCCTAAACCATTTCCTCACCCAGACTGAGGTTCACTGGTGTTCTCCACTGAAACAGTACCTCATGCTTCATTCCATAAAGACCCAGAAAACTCTCAGCATAAAAACTTTCCATTTTTAAAAGCATATTTTATGAAAATATCACATTCTCTATAATGCCAGCTTTACATTGTCCTTTTCTCACAAGAGCAACTGTTTTCTTAAGTGAAAACTGTATATTTAATTTGATAGACATACACATGGTGAAAGGATTCCCTCTCTTTCCCTAGCTGGGACATAATCAGTTTGAAACCAGAGGTCAAAAAATGCCAGCCCAGGCAGCCCCTCCTTGCCTAACCTGCCATCCCTATCCTCTTGCTCACTGACTACTCTGAGGAACATGAAACAAGGTAGGAAGATGAAAGCTGCATCTTTGATCTCCAGTTTTCAAGGCTGATTGTCTTCCCGATAGGCCCTATTTGGGGGGAAAAGCACTATACAGTCAAGCAAATAGATCCATCTGCTCACATAGGTACGCGTGTGTTAAGAACACATCAAACCTACCCTTTCAGCAAGTTTACATTATAGAACACAGTTTTACTAGCCATAGTTATGCTGTAAATTAGGTCTTTAGACTTATTTATCCTAGATAACTGCAATAATTTTGTACCATTTGACCAACAGGTCCCTAGTTCCCTCCCCCTCCACCCCTCATAACCTCTGCTCTGTTGTCTGCTTCTGCCTCTGTTTTAGGTCCCATATCTAAGCAGTCACGTAGTATTTGTGTCTCTGTTTTTGGCACTCAGAAGGGAATAATTGAAAGTGAAAAGTTTTGTAATGAAAATAACACTATTAGAATTATGAGTCTGAGGGGGCCTGAAAACGACGTTATTTTTATGAATGTATCAGAAATCCCGGGGTGGACTTTTGTTTTGTTTTGAAACAAAACAGAGACACAACCTAATCTGTTGTTCAGGAGGACTATTCTTACACCTGATATCAGTATTGTATAATGTTCCATTTTTAAAATTTGCCTTCTGAGGCTGGGGATTTAGCTCAGCAGCTTAAGCGCCTGCCTTGCAAGCAGGCAGTCGTGAGTTTGATCCCTGGTACCGATAAAAAGGAAAAAGACAAAAAAAAATTGACTTCTTAGAAGAGCACTTTTAGAGTAGTAAGAAATGGTCTTGAAAGGCAAGGACCAAGTTTATAAAACAAATCCGCCCTACCAGGCACAATGACATGCTTGCGCGGCCAGCTCTATGGAGACTGAGGCTGGAGGTTCACAACTTCAAGGTCTCACCCGGGTTACCTAGTGAGTTCTTGTTTCAAAACAAAACAAAAGTCCACCCTGGGATTTCTGATACATTCATAAAAATAACGTCGTTTTCAGGCCCCCTCAGACTCATAATTCTAATGGTGTTATTTTCATTACAAAACTTTTCACTTTCAATTATTCCCTTCTGAGTGCCAAAAAGATAAGTACACTTTCTTCTTTTTCTATATTACATCAATTAAGTCAGTATATCCTACATGTGGGACAAGAGTGATGGTGCACAGAGGGACATATTTTTTATTTTAATAGCTATGTATTTTATTTTCTGTAAATTAGAAAAAATGACATCATGATAGCAAGAACTTTGAGTCTGTAAATATTATTGTCTTAAACACTTCCATTTTAAATAAATTAGGTATTCTAGAAGTTGGTCAATTAAAAGAAAATTTTAAAAACCCTATACTTGAATTGTTTTTGCCATGTGCCAGTGAGTTATACAAACACCTCCATACCGATACTCATGAAAATACTAAATTGGGAGACAAACATAGCAAAAAAAAAAAAAAAAAAAAAAAAAAAAATATATATATATATATATATATATATATATGTATTTATATTTATATGAGATAGGCCCGGCACAGTGATTGCACACCTGTAATCCCAGCACTTGGGAAGCCGAGGCAAAAGGATCACCATGAGGTAAAGACCAGTCTGAACTACACATGAGTTTAAGGCCAACCTGGACTATATGGCAAGACCCTGTCTCAAAAATTAAAGATAAATATTAGACGGTACTTTAATTACTGAGGTTTAGAAACAATATAGTAAGAAGTAAATCCCATACGAAAGCAATGAATCTAAGGTAAATATATAGTATGTACGTAACTCTTTATAAAACAAAGAACATGACTTTCAGAGTCATTAGGGAGAATATAATTGAGTTAAACAGCCACAGAAGACATTATGTAATTAGGTACTAATTAAGTGATACCAATCAGTGGTTCTCAATCTCTTTTCCTCAAAAACAAGTACTGTGCGGTGGACAACACACACATTTGGCATCCTCCACCACAGGCCACCGCACAGAGTAAGTGTGGTTCTCAGTGTCAGGCTGAGCGTATTTCCTTTGTGAGACACACATGGTATCAAACAGAACAAGAGGGAGAGATCTGGTACGGTTAGGATCAGGATTTATAGGGAAGGCAGGACTTGCTCTGTCTTGAAGAATAGGTAGAATTTGAGTAGGTGGAAAGTGATGATGCTTTTAGTAAGGATCAGAGGTCACACAGACATGTGGGGAGCCTATGGGACAGGAGAGGGAGTGTGCAGGCCATTTCCAGAGAAGACAGCTTAGAGGGTTGGCTCAAGGCCCAGAACGCTGAGCAGTTTGGGTGTAGTCAAACCTAGCTTATTTTCTGTTTTTGCACATCATGGGGAGATGATTTTTACATTTTTAGTGGGCATTGTAAATACCATACAAGATACCTTTCCCTCTATCTCTCCAGCCCTTTACCAAAAACATTTCGTAATCCAAATAAAAATAATTGGGAGTCACCCATAATTAGCAGACATGAAAAGAAAGTAATGTTTAAGGTAATGTTTCAGGAAGGTAATGTTTAAGGAATGTATATGGGAGTGGTGTACGGGAGACTAAATGGAAGAACACATAAACATCAAGGTAGAAAAATAATGGGGACTTCAACTTGTGGCAGTGAAATAGAAAGAAAAGGACAGATCTGATGATGTCTCATAGAACTAGAAGTCTGTGAATATGTAACCTCACCTGCCAAAGTAGACTTTGTGAATGCCATTCAATTAAGGATTTGAGATGGAGAAATTATCCTAGATTTCCAGACACAACTATTACAATCACAGGGGTCCTTATAAGACAGAATCAGGAGAGTCAGTTAGAAACGGAAGTGTAACAATGGAAGCTAGAGGTTACGGTGAGGTAAGGATGAGGCCACAAGCCAAGGAACGCAGGTGGATCTGAAAGCTGGAAAAGGCAAGAGCCAAAGACTCTAAAAGGAATGTAGCCCTGACGATGGCTTGATTTAAATATCTGACCTCCAAGACCGCACTGTAACCATTTGTGTTAAGTTCTAAAGTTTGTGGTAATTTGTTACAGCAATAACACAGTCTTAATACAGGTCTATTAAGTAGAGGTGAGGAGGAAGATGGTTGGCAGGAACTCAGAGGAGACTGTAGAGTCTAGAGAATGAAGTATCCTGATAGAAACAGGAAAGACAGGCAAAGAAGTGCATTTCAGGAAAGAAACAGCACTTCAAAAAAGGAGGGGAAGGATAGAGGGAGCAGAGGGCCCAAGGACTTAACCACAATGAAGAACAGGCAAAGAAATGGGACTTCTCCCCTTCCCCAGTCCCTCACAAGAGACTTCTGTCCCTCTAGATGAGGAAAGTGACACATGGAGAACTGAACGTGGTCCTGCTCGGACTCACCTTGCTCACTGTGGTAACAGCAGCAATGAGTGTAGCCCCTGACACATGACTTTTATTTAACAATCTGGATCAGTTCATTGACTGACTGACTGTTTTGTCCCAGAAGAAAGCCCCTAATGTTAGACATTATCCATGACAGTTCTTTATCCAGTACAACCTCCAAAGTCACTCCATGCCCATGTAACCCAACAAAGCAGCAGCTTTTGGGTCAGAAAAATCTCCACACTGAGCTTGCGAATATCCTGCTGTGTTCTCCAAATTTGATGGCAGAGAGCGAGAGGCCTCCAGGAGTCCCAAGCTGTGCAAACAGTCTGTGGGTTTCCTGGCCCACAGACCTGATCTGCTTCCTTTGGGTGGCCCACGGGGAGCTGTTGGCTCCATGCTCTTTTTCACGGACTGCTTTTCCTTTTTGGGAAAAAGGGAAGTTGCTGTTTTGTGGTTCCTTGAAAGGCAAATGAGGGTGCTGGCTAGGAAACAGCATTCTGGGAGCCTCACCTTTCAGGAACGCAGAGACATCTTCCAGCTGTGGCACGTTGTCCTCCCTGTAGCCACAGTATTTAGTCAGCAGGGGGAAGTTCTTCAGATACTCTCTGCATGCGTGAGTAGGGTAGAGTTTGGAGAGCTCCCGGAATACAATGCCCCAAGTTTTGGTTTCTTCTCCGGTGTACTCCACCCTGGGAATAGGCTGACCGCTAGGCAGGAGAAGAAGAATAAATCATTCTATGGTGGCATACACTGTATCACCAGCTCTGTAGAGTCAAAAGTTCAACCTCAGTTTGGACAACTTAGCCAGGTATCATCGTGAAACTTCAAAACCACAGGGAAAAGGGAGAATGGAGAAGAATACAGTCAGTGCAAAGGCCTGGGTTCAATCCTCTACACATACATACACATACATCTTGCTTTGAACTAAGTATATTCTCACCTAAACAAAAATCAGATTCTTACAGTGTCCAAAAGAACCTATTAAGTATTATTTTTGCTTGTTTGTTTTTAAAATAAACATTAATTTGCCACGTGTGTGTATATTTAGCCTGCCATGAAATTTTAATTAAGTCACTTGTGTATCCTTATAGAAATTCAGTAAGATTTATGTTCTTACACTGAGGTTGGTAACTTCAAGAGTCCTGGGTATAAAGGCCAGGGATTTGGCTCAGCAGTATAAGCACCTGCCTGGCAGGTATAAGGTCATGAGTTTGATTCCCAGTGCCAAAACAAAAAAGATTTCTGAGAAGCAAGAAACTGATTTTGGCATAAAATTCTGCTCTAAAACTTTTTCTGCAATCATAAGACAATAATAAATGGATGTCGTCTCTTGAAAATAGAATTGCCCAGCTAGTTCTCTTTGTCTCCTGCCCAGATGCCCCTCGGTTTCAAAATGAAATTGTGTGGGAAATACTAAAACACTAGGCTGAATTTAAAATGAGAGTTTTGCAAAATAAAGAACATTGATTGCAGGTCATACTGAAAGGTACTAACCCCTCCCCTTTTAGGTCAAGGGTTAGCAAACTTCCTATAAGAGAACAGAAAGCAAGTGCTTCAGGCCTGTTGCTCATGTGGTCTCTGGCACGATTCAGCCACTGTCTCTCCAAAGCAGCCATGTGTAATAGAGAAGCAAATGGATGGAGCGTGTTGTAATGAAACCTGCCTGCGTTTGCCCACAGACATTAGCGTGCTGATGATTGGGTTTAATCTGGAAAGGCTGTCCAGACCACAGTGGTCACAGAGAGCTTCCTGTGGAAGGCATGACCTGAGCTGAAATTTGTTGTCTTGTAGGACCTGAACATTCCCTGACAAACAGGTGAGAAGGAAACACTGTCCCACAGCCAGTAGCCAAGCACAAGAGATTTGGTTCCAGACAAAACCAGGACCCTGGAGGAAAAGAGATGGTGACATTTGCTTTGCAACTGATTGAGGAAATCTAAATGCAACCTCTTATTAAGATATCTGTTCTGCAAATGAATTAGAATTTGAGAAGTTTCTCGTGCCACGTTCAACAGCCCTACTGCCACTGATGGGAAGCTTTACCCTTAAAGTCTGCAAATACCTATGCATGACATATGAAAGTCAAATGCAGTAAAACCAGGGTTTCTGCCTCTGCAGTCTACAACTTCAGGCCAAAGTAGGTAGTCACGTGTCTACACAGAGGCTCTGTGTACACAAGAGAGCAGCTGCAACTTGGGGTCACTGCAGCTGTGGGGTATTTTCTCTGGAATCATTGCAGAGAACCCCTTGAAAAGAGAAAAGCAACAATAAGAAGAGTAGGCTACAAAGGGATCCCCATACTGCCCCCCAACATCCCTCATGTGTTTCAGGGGTGTTGTTGTTGTTATTGTTTGTTGCTTTGTTTTGTTTGTTTTGTTTGTCCCAATACTTTTGTCTAAAGTTCCCCAAATTGGTTCTTACGGCTCCCAGATTATTTTGTTTTGTTTTCTTTAAAGAAAAAGAAGGAAGGCAAAGGAGAAGGAGGAAAGGAAGAGAAAGAAGAGGAGGAGGAGGAAAATATATGAGCAGTGAGAGAACACTGAAGAAATAAGTAGAAATTAACATTTGCTTTCCCTAAATACTGAGAGTAGGGTTTACATAAACCCAATTAAAACAAGATTAGCCTTGTTTAAATTTGATTGCTTATAGCAAATAAACAATTACAACCTGACAAATATTTTCTGGGAAGATCAAGCCTAAGTCCTGAAATCCATGATGAATATAAAATGAAAATTTGGTATGGGAGGATTAAAATAAAAAGGATGCAAGGAATGAAATATATAAATACTCTGCCTTTGGATCCAGAATATTCAGTTAGATCAATTTGTGTCATGTGGGCCAATAAAACTGATAAGGGCTATGTGTGATCAGAGGGGAGGAAACCAATGAGGCCAAAACAATGAACGAAGTATTGAGAAGTCATTTGAAAAAAAATCGTTGTGTCAAACTTTTCCCTTCAATATCAATCTGCAAACATGCAGCAATTCAAAGGGGGGGCTGAACGTAGCCAGTAAGGTGCAGAAGAAGAATCCATGTGTATTAGAGTAGGAAAGAAGAATTATGCAGGTCTCTTCATCAATAATGAATTTTCCCCAGCAAAATCAAGGGACTATGGGTGGCTGCACATGTTCACATCTGTTTGTGCTCATCGGTCCCTCCTGGGTGGCTGGCCGGCCTGCTCTCCGAACTTATAAACTGGGGAAAGTCCCCACTGCTACTTGAGACCAGAGGAGTCATCTCTGGTGCTCTGAGATTTCTCACACCACTCAAACCCCCTGTCTTTGGCAATTCTTTCAAGTAAATACTCAAAACTTCATTATAAAGGGCTGACTTCAGCCATTTAATTTCTATGGAAAACATCCAAAATACACAAAAAATAAGAAACTCCTTTTTTTCTATGTAGTTCATATGAGTATGCAATAATATCTCAACTTTGAGAGTCTACCACATGCCAGACACTATTTTATGAATTAACCTTTGATTTTCTTTTTGTTAATTTTAAAAAGAAAAAACAGAAAAGTCAATAAGCAAACAAATCTTAAAAATAACTGAAACAAAATGACAAAAAACAATAGTTATATAGGTTTTTCATGATAGGAACTTAACAATGGTTGTTATACTGCATATTGTTATCTTCAAAATAGTTGCTCAAGTTACCAGCTATAGGAATAACAAAACAGTAAAATGGAACAAAACATTGGATTGCAAAATCAAGACAAAAGGAAATCCCTGACAGTTGCTACAATGTACACTATCATCTTCCAATTGGATGCCCATATCTCCATCCCCAGGTCTGCAAAGTCAGTCAGACAATACTATTTCATTTACCTCAGTTGCTAACATGTCACCCTGAGTCCTCTGAGTCAGCCAGTTGCTGACTGGCTCCTGGGAAGGCGTGGTTTGCCTTCTTGCTTTTCCCAATCTTCATGGCAAAGCAGCCTCATAGGAAGGCATAGTTTGTCCTAACCTTTGATTTTCATATGAATCAACCCATTTGATTGTCACAGTTCCATGAGGTTGATACAGTTATTATCCCCATGTCACAGATGAAGAAACTGACACTCAAAGGAATTGAGTAAATTGTCTAAAATCATACAGCCAAGCTTAAAACCTAATCCATCTGGCTCAAGACACTACAATCTTAATTGGTCAGTACATACCAGTGAAATTAAATTTTTATATTTATTTTCATATTCTAAGCTAAAAGAAGGTTTAATTAAGTTAATGGGGTGATTGAGGCATAGAAAAATTCTTCTACATTCATATGTCATCATGATACTTGCATGGAGTTGTAGGTCATAAAGAGAAATTTCTTATACATTTATTCGTCAAATTTCTCAGTGAAACTCAATGCTGGGTTGCCAATAGAATAAGTATGTTTGGGGGACACTAGGAATGTAAGGTCATTCAACTATTTTTAACACTTTGAAATTTGACATTTGGAAAAATAAAAATTGTCATGGGAAAAATCAGATTGTATTGCATTTTTTCACACTTGTTATGAGTTAGTGGAAGTTTTTATGAATTGCATCTGAAAAAGGTGGCAGAGAGGAGTCCTGACCTTTTACAAGCCTGAAGTATATACCTGTGCGCCATTATGCATGTATCTGTGGGTACCTATTTAAGGGATGCAAGCAGACATCAGACATCAGCAACCTAAAACTTGGCTCCAGTCCAAAACTAAAGCCACTCACATATTCCGCATTCTAGAGAAAGCCCTCCCCATCCGCTGAAACCAAGCATCTCCTTAGAGAGACCATTAAGAGGCAGCAGAAATGGCCTTACCACCAACAATCTCCTCCCATACCGCCCTTCCCATCCCATTCCCAGACTTCATCCACCAGTCTAATGGAGAATAAGAAGTGCTCAGGATCATGTTAGGGCAGGGTTTGACAGGAAGGGCAGGTTTTTTCCTCTTCCCTAAATCAGGAGGCTAACTTGCTCCATTAAATAATTTCTAAGGATGGCTGATGCACACTAGAAGTTTTTCCAGTTTTCTCAGATGGCTCTTGCTGTGCAGCAGGACCACAGGCTCTTTGATGCTGGCACCAGAACAGAGCAGGAAAGAGGCAGTCCCTGGGACACTGTACAGAAGCCTAGGAATACGGATCACTATGGAGGAGAAGTGGTATTCCTTTGTCATACGTCCTTGGAAATTTAAGGTTCATATGAGCACAAAAACTATTGCCCAACAAAATACCCAATACCTACAATTTAAAGAAGAGAGATTTATTTTAACTCACATTATCAGTCCATAGTCATCTGGCTACCCAGAAGGAAAAGGATGGCAGAAGGGCATGGTGGAAGAAAAGGTGCCCAACACTTGATAGCCAGGCAGCAGAGAGAGAAGAGAGGATCAGGGGACAATAATGAACCCTTCCAGGTCACACCCTCAGTGACCCAACCCCCTTCAGGCCCCACTCCCTAACAGCATATTTCACTACTGAACTCATCAAGTATAGCACTCCCATGACCCAATCACCTTCCCAGCACATGACTATTTGTGGGGGACAATTTGGATCCAAATCAATGTGCCATGCCTTAGAGAAAGATGGGGACACCTCACTCTATGCAGTTCTGCTCAGTTCTCAGAAGCAGAGAACACTTCACTGGTTCCTTGTATCCTCATGAAAGAACCACAGAGGGCACCCAAGCTCTGGGATGCCCGATCTGGTGGAGGATCCACGGCTACTGACAAAATCAAGGG